CATGCGCGAAATTACTTCCATTCCGAGATACCCTGCCACGTACACATAGTTTCTCTAGGTCTTCCACAATACAAATTAAGAAAATTGCTTGACATGCTCAGCCTTCACATATGCGTGATATACTTCAGCGGTCAGGCAATCTCACGTGTTAACTCCCGGTTGAAGACAGTCATTGTACACTTCATTGCCGGTCTCAGGATACGCTTTTGCCGTGCTTGTATACACAGGTTTGCAGCATTTTGATGTTATTGGTGGAGTGGAGTACGAAGTACACGAACGCTCAATGCTACGACGTACGAATTCAGACATGGCTGGACAAATCATGGTTGTCGGACACAACATGCACATGAACAACGGCATCAGCATGAAGTTTGAACCATGCATTTTCATTTAGAAGGTAATATTACATAACCCAGCAGCCACAAGCAAGGCCTATCATAATCCGCCCATCCCATCATGGACCGAGCAGCTCAGTCTATACCACCAAGAGGAAAACCTGAAACTCGTCCGTCATTGCACCGACCTTGCGAGACGCTTAGTCGAAGGGGTTGGTGCGGGTTCCCCAGTAGGTGAGGAACAGAGACAGACCGACCGTCTCGAAGACGCGGGCGGTAGCGCCGATGAGGATGGTCTCAAGCGGGCGCTTCTCGGTGAGAACCTGGGAGACGATCTACACTTGTTAGCATTCATCCTCTACTATAGCGAGGGAATATCGATGACGTACCGAAGGAGCAGACGAGGCGAAGAAGATCAGAGCACCGAGGTACGAAGCACCCTTGTAGGTCAAAGTTCCCGTAGCGTTGATCAGAGCACCGACACCATAGGCCTGGATGGCGGAGCCGACGAGCGAGCTACCCCACGACGTCGCAGCTGTGGCGGCCTCCTTTGAGTTGAAGTATTCCTCCTTTGAGTTTGCGGCCTGGGCGCGGCGGTAGGCGTCGCCGAAGACGGGGCCAAGGACGGCAAGGGAGACGGCGTGGTTGAAGGCAGTGCCGAGCGCGATGGCGCTGGGCTTGACGGGAGGGAGGTCTGTGATGGAGCCGTTAGCATTGAAGCGTGAGAGATTGGGTGTCACTCTGCGTTGGTCGCCTTGGCGGGCGGGTTGTTTATGGTACTGGTATTGTTTACAGCGATGGGGGACTACGTACAATGGAGAGTAGCCATTGTGATGGATTGCTCGTTGATGAAGGTGATGGATTTGGCGGGAATTGAGATAGAGTCGATGGAGATTGAGAGAATTGGTGTGTGTGGTACGAAAGGTGGCAGGAAGAACAAGGAGCTTTAAAGAGTTTCCCAGCTGCAGGAGCGGGTAAGGTATGATGGCTTTCAGGTGACTTATTACGTCACAGCCTACCTAGGTATGGCGTCTGCCAAGCGAGCTCCAGCCCCATCGAATCAAAGCACGCCTTTGCGCCTCTGGTGCCAGAGCCAGGGCCGCTGGAGATCTATGCAGAGAAGCCGTCCGTCTGCCATGGTAAATGGGAGATGCAAGTTGGTTTTCGATGATTTCGCGATGGGTAACGTCATTTTTTGGTGGCTGTTGCGCGCATTCCGGCGCAGGGGAGTGCCGGACGTGCACGCTAGGATAGGCTTGGACTCATACCAGAGCTCGTCCTCATACTCATCTGAAAGAAGAAGCCAACATTGACCGTCAATTCTACTCGTAGCTATTGCTGCTGCTCTCCAAGGAGCTTTGACATGTCAGTGCAAAATTTGCCAAGCGTTCTCCGCTCTGGCTGTATGAAGTTAGTGGGGCGCGCGGCTCCCTTATGAACACACTTCACATCTTCCATCCCGACTCTACAAACTCCATCGCAGCGCTCACGGCTCGCGCAAGCGGAAACAGATGCTCCCCGTGTCGTTGTCGTTCCCTTGCTGTTCTTCGCTGTTCGGATGGCATCGTGGCCCGAGTGGGTCGAGAGCGCTTACGAGCTAGCCACAAACATCGCTATGATCTTCCTCAGACGCTCCATTACCAGCTTCGTGCTCCTCTTTCTGCTCATTTTGATACCCATCTACTTTTTGTTTGGTTTGCAGACTGCGCCGGCGTCTGTCACGTGGCTGGCTGAAAAGGCGTCGCTGTCGAGGAAGCCACAGCCTGTGGTTCCGCCTACAGCGCATATTGTGCTCTTTGAGTTTAAAAAGGGCGCGACCTCTTTTCAGGTCAAAGATGTAAGAAATGGATGATGCTGTGGGGGGTTTAACTGACGCTTGGGTAGGTCACTTCGAGGATGCTCGCGTTGAAGAAGTCGTGTCTGCATCCGAGCACGAAGAGACCATATATCAAATCTATTACCGGCGGGAAGGATAACTCGCCCGAAGGTCTACAGGTACGGCTTACTTTTCTAATCTGGTTTGTGGGTATTGACGAAATATAGAATGGCGCGAGTCATGGATTCATCGTTCACTTCGCATCGAATGAAGACCGCAATTATTATGTCAATGATGACCCAAGTCATCAAGCTTTCAAAGAAGCTGCCGGTCCGTATCTCGAGAAAGCCATCGTCGTGGATTTTCAGGAAGGCGTCTTCACGTGAGGCTTAAACCAATACGACACGAGGAGAATGTAGGATGCGAGACTACGCCGTACCACAACCTTATGTAGAATACCGTCCAGTCGTCAACGCTCAGAACTACGACTTCTCCACAGTTCAATTTTCGTTCATTTTCTCTAAGTTCTCCTTTAGCCATGGATATCGAAGATGCAGCAAATGATGAACCATCAGCACATTTGATACCATTTCGGATCACCGTGAATAATACAAGCCATTACCAACCTCTACATCTGACATGATGAAATTATGCTATATCATCGTCGAGTCCACTCCGGATAACGACCTGGCATATCCCTCAGTCTGTTCGTCGGGACAGCTATCGCTCGAGGACGAGGATAGAACGAAATACGAGCCAATTTCGTACTGCTGGGCATGTTCCAACAACACTGGCCCAGCCATACTTCGATTTCCCAACCGCACCGGGTTCTTCGGAAGTGCAGATCATCACGAATGCTTGATTACGAGGGGCCTCGATATCACTCTACGCAACGCGCGATTTGCTAACCGTAGGGCGTTCTTTGGATAATTCACACGCGTATTTTTCAGCTTGACACAATTGAGAGGAGCCAGCAGGTCAGCTTTATGCAGGGGTTCTACGCTGAAGTTTATCAAGTGCTGATACGGCTCGGTGAGGAGGACGCTTTTACACCGGTCGTTCGAGACATATCATCAGAATTGTGCGAGAGCTCACAAAGATGATGAAACCATACCGCAACACAAGACACCGAGACAGACGCCTACTCGCTCATCTCATGCTATAAACGGAGGCTTACTCAGGTAGTTCCGAAGCTTTGCGCAATGTGGCCAAGGGTTCGACAGCGTCTTCAACGGCGCCAGTTTTCTCCGCTATCTCTGCTTGCTGATGTAAAGCACCGGCAGTCGCATCAGATAACAAAAGATTACCTCCTTCACGCAAGACCATGTCAGGGTTCTGCCAGAAGTGTTCCGCTTTCGTCCGCATCCAAGGAATGGCGAGCACTATCAAGGTCACCACCATTCGCCGACTGCGAACATGGTGATGAGATATGCGACGGCATACTTCGGAAATACAGTAACAACTTTCTTCTTCAACCTATAAACACATGACAAGATTAGACTCAAGAACACTTAATCGTGTAGATGTATACGGTATTGAAGATACATTTTGTTCATTGACAGGGGGTATTAATACTATATTATAACATGAGGGGACGATGAACACACATGTGCACTCCTTACAACAGAGAATAGCAACCTAGCTACGAGAATATAATATAGAATACCAGGTATATTAAAGTATCCACCAGAATATGAGATGCTAAGGTGTATCTCCTATTATCTTATTAATTGCGTACAAAATAGACTAAGTAAAAGGATGGTTGTGTTGAGCATTCAGGTGGCCACTGTCGCGACTTCCTTACGAGTGTGATTAGACTGAACTAGCGCTCTAGCGGCATGAAAGATGATACGAATTATACAGAACAAAATCGAATAGTTGACAGGGGGCGCCTTCACTACCTCGCTGAACTACAGACTGCACTTTTCATAGTTTTCGAGATCAAATATCGAGAGTATTTCTAGACTTTTATTCCCATTGCTGTACTTGTGTTCGTACATAAACACCTTTGTCATTAAATGGTCTTACTCTTGTGAGGCTTTGTGGAGGTCAAATGAGCTGGAGAAGTAGATTCATGTGATCGTATTGCTCTTCGTCTGAAGTTTGAAGAGAGCTGCGAGCTCTGGCTATATAGGCTTCTCAGGCTCGGAGGAGCTTGAGAGCGTATATCGTACGCGACAGGCTTTCATTTTGGCCCTGGTACATTGCACCTCGTCATTCTAAGAGTGAGCGAGCGGGCGAGCGATGGTGTGCTTGTTTTGTTGCTAAGAGTGTAACACTCAGTAGTATTAGTAGCGCGACATAAAATACGTTTATTGTTAAGTTACTGCGAGCTCCCTATAGTTGGACGTGTTTAAGTAAGAAAGGTTAGAACTTATAGTGGATATTTATTTAATACTAACACTATGTAACTCATGTATGCTTTACTGTTTCCTCAGTGTACCGCGACCATTCACCACACTGCTGGATCACTGGCTACGGAGCAGAATGTAAAGTAGCGCGAGTGGAAATAAGTACCTGCATACCCATACTCAAAATTTAAATCCTTAATTGAAGGCACCGCGTATTTCCAACTCCCTTCTCATTATAGGGAAGACTTGTTCGGGAACTAAGATCCCGGTTCCACAATATAGTGCATTGTTCGCTACCGCTCCCAATCACTCCCTGGAAAAAGACGCCCAGCTCCCCACCTTTACCACACTGCCGCGCCTTACACGCACGACGCCGCATCACTTAATATTACCTTAATACTCTCATAACTGGGCCTTTTTCTTAGTATATAACTGATTTAAGCTCAAAATTGTCCATTAAAATATGAGCACTGGCGCAATTTCAGCTTCAGCTTTACATCCTCCGTGGCGCAATTGGCTAGCGCGTCTGACTGTTAAGAAGCAATCAGGAGGTTCGTGGTATGTAATTACACATCTTAATATTAAATTGTGTCGCTAACCCATCGGTTAGGTTCGAGCCCACGCGGGGGAGTTTATCCAATCCTTTTTTGCTCCCCTATTCGGCCTTTCACAAGCTTAAGGTTTGCGGCGAAGGGTGAGAACGGCCCTTTATTTTACGTGGCACTGCTCTGCCGAGCTTTACTTTTGACCGTGCGCTGCAAGTGAGGGGCAGAAACATCACTCTTATGGTCATGGGTCCAGCATTTGGGATGGGTGCTGTGGCTTTGTGATGTGAGGGTGGTTTGGATGATTGTACTGGCGATTTGACGGATGTGCGACAATGGTACATTGCATCGACAATGAATGGTAGGTCATCGACAAGGTCTATAACTATATCAATCATCACAACCCCTTTTGAATAATGATTTGGTCAGAGATGAGGGCCGCCGACAACGCGAGAGAAGAATCGCCATTACGCGACGTCCATACCACGAACAAAATTCCCTAAAAAACTGCAGTGCTTGCTACTCTCCATATCGATATAAAGAGCAGCTATCTAGAATATTTATCAGGTGTTAAACTTGGCAAATAGCTATATGAAACGCAGATGAGAATTCAATCGAACTCTATGACCTGAAACTTTCAAAGCTTGTTCCGGAACCTATCATTAGATCTTATATATTCGTAGCGCAATAGGGGTATATCCGTTCAAAAGACAGTAAGTATACAGAAAAATACACAGAAAGGAAATGACCATAATGGGGTGTCGATGTCATGGCCTGTGTCGGCATCCCTCTCAAGGACGCAATAAGCTCCTCAAGTGGGATCCAAACAGAAAAATCCCAGATAACGGCGAACGCAGTAGGAAACAGTTGAGCCTCGCGGGCTCTTATCCCAAGCGTACTGCGCACAGCAAACAGTCCGGCTGCTTACACCAATGCACCGCCCCTCCCACCGAAACCCTCCTTCGGGGTGCTCCCCTCAACAGTTACCTCATACCCACTCTCGACCACAATCTCCAAAGGCTTGATCTCCAGGATCTGTCTTTGGCTCTCTCCATCATCCGTGACATCTCTGGGAGCCATGTCGCCTTTCCTTCGCTCAATCGTATATTGGTACGATGCAGCGATCCTCGAGACACTTGATCCGATCTCACGCAATGAGTACTCTCTATTAACAGTGCTGGTCCTGTCAATAGTCCTAGAGCGACCATTAGAGGAGAAGCCGCGGATGCCGAGGTAGCGGAGCAGTGGTCGCATGGTGGCGAGCGAACCGGCGACGATGCCGATGCAGCACTCAACTTCAGACCAGATAGCGATGGGAGTTATGCCGTAGACGAAGTCGTCCGGATCTTGGTAGGCGAGGAGGTAGCGCATACGGACTATGGTTGCGATGGAGGCACTGGAGTCAAGTTAGTAAGTCCCCAGTATCATTATTGTACAGGGTACCTTACAGCACACCCAACGCAAGTATTACACCGACGTAGATCTTTGCATTTCGAGAGAGTTGGATCCCCCATATCACAAAGACAGGTAAGATGGCGCATGTCCAGTCCGTGACGATGCAGACGGCGCTGAAGAAGTACGTCACATTCGTCAAAATCGACGGCGAGCCGCACTTCCCTTTGGCAGGATTCCAGGCCGCCGCAAGAGGTTTACAGCGCGCTATGTACACCACGACACGTATGAAAGAGCCGAGTGTAGAGATGCCAATGACGTTGTATAGGATCCATCGAAATTTCCTTTGCGGCGTCACCCGCAATATGAGCACGCAAATGGAAGCTTTGACCGGCGCAGTGGCCGCGGCGTAGGCGAGACCAGCAATGAGGAACCACTTCTTCGCTTGTTCGATCTGCGATTCGGTGAGGCGGTACGCGTGGGCGCCTACGCCGTAGGAGATGGAGATGTAGTCCGCGATGCAACAAAACAGCAACAGTGCCTTACTTATTAGCCATGACTTGAACTTGATAAAGTGAATACGTACATATCCCAGCACCATTAACTAGTCATCTAAATTAAATCCGCGAATCTCCAGCCTCGCCCAAACTCGCAAGAGGATAGCAACAGTGGAGATGCCAAGCAGCACACTGATGACGATCAACAACTCCAGGCCGGGCCCCTCGGGATGTACTATCATCGTCAGTAGGCTCGACGACGCGCTACATGAAATCGCATACGGAGGTAGTGATGAAAGAAGAGGCAAGGCCGACAGCTCGGTTTACGTGAGTGGGGCTTGAGTTAACAAACATCATGACCCCTCGTCAGTCTTTCCTCTATTGATACAGCCCTATCGCTATCTCAAATCACATAGAAGGCGGTGGACGGCCATGCAGTCATGCATGCCAACCTCTGTGCGCTCCCGCAAGAGCTGGGCTTCAGGCGATCACCCAGTCAGGATGGGAGCTTGGGTTGCGGAAGCGGAAGCCATTGCATGATGAGCGGGTCAGACGAATGCGGATCAGCTTACAGGGATGTAATAACAAATTTTCCAGGGTCTCGGTGTCCTTCGATCCTACCAAAGATTGGTGGGTGAAAGGGTACGGGAATGAGTGAACGGTGTGTCTGAGTAAGGCTGAGGCTTCACCGGCTCTACCGCCAGCCTTGTGCTACATGAACAGGCTGCAGCTGTGGAATTGTGAGGGAATTTAGAAATGAGATTTTACGTCAACACGTGAGCTGGGTTTGATGCGGTGGAAAGGGATGGAGAGGCCGGGAACCAAGAGTGTCTGAGCCCTAATTCGGCCCGTTGCATTCTGCTTCATCGTTCGCGACAGAACAACTATCTAGCAACAAACGAGCGATCATGCCCCTATCAAGTGCAAACGGTTGTGGCTGGGATTACTGTTTCTGTTGGCGAGAGGAAACCTTATCCTGACGTGGCGTTGTCGTCCAAGCTTTAAGACTGGCATCGTAGCTGGGCGCTTGCAGCGTATTGTGCTTTGGATACGCAGCCATTCGCTTGAGGACGGACGGTGACGGGTGATGTCAGATGAAGGCGCGGGGAAGAAGCGAAGAGGAGTGGAGAGGAGTCGTATCGACACTGCGGCGGACTACCGTCCACCTGGGACCGTCTGATTGGACTTCTAACCGAGGTAGGTGCAAGTGTTCCTCCACGATTCCCCCCACGTTCACAACCCATTCATCCGGTGTTCGTCATCACTGAAGTCTTCATGTGACCTTTCTACCGACCACTCTGCTAGCCTCGTCTATTCTATTCTTTCTACAGAGATTTCTTCCAAGCCAAGGCATCGTCAACTCCCCTTGAAATTCCAAAGCATCTTGCAGTACCATTGTATGGGCAACTTGAAACAGAAGTGTAGCGAAATCATAGATACATCGTATTATTGAATAGAGGTAGGGATGTTTGAGTTTCTTACGCTGCATCTCTCGGCGAAGCTGCTCATCACCACGATGCAAAGATGATGAACTTTCCCCCTCGATTTCCAAAACACGGCGTTATTATCACAATGCCAAGCATCTCCACATGCAAAAGAGTGAGAGATAGCGTTGCAAGAGGAATAAAAGTGCACTAACACCGTCGCGAGACATTGCCATTCGCTATCGGTTTTTTTTATTGCCTCCAGAAGACACATGTAACGAAACTGGTTCAAGTTCATGCACGTTCCCTAACAACATCAAAGACTCGCGCATATTTCTCGAATAGTTCATAGAAACACGAGAACAGGGGAGGAGAAAAAACTATCGTGGCAGCTTTGTTGAGGCTTCTCGCTCTGCACAACAGCAGCAAACCCATGTAGGGACATGCTTGAGTTTCGACGTGCGATACAATAAATATCATTAGTCCTTCGACTTTAGGGGTTCAGTTTGGAACCCAGGGGGATTTCGTTAACATACTTCAAAAAGAACATTAGGCTAGAACGTAGAAGCAAAGTCACATACAGAGCCCTTGTAGAGCTCCGACACGCAGACAGACATGCTTCGACGTTAACCCGAATTTGGTGGTTAAAATTGGATTTCTTCAACATATATCCTAGATCTTATTAACCCTGATGTTCCTTTTCCAGCAGTGGAAAACATCTTTTCCTCGGAACGTAGGACTGCGGATCGTTACTCCCGTTTTCTCTCCGATCTTCGCACTTATCACTTCTCCAGGTGAAATTCGGTATACTCTCGCAGACAAAAACATGCGTTTATCTTAACTCCACCACAGAAGAATCGCAGAGGACATTTTGATAAGGGTTTGAGAATATCCGGCATGCTCAATCATGTGTTTGGCTTTGGAACGAGCTTCCATCGTCGTGAATCGCTTGTACTTAGGAATACGATTTTGGTACAGCGAGGAAGTTCCACCCAAATAAATAAGACACTTGTCCATTCTTATCGAATGCATAAGTTTTAGGCTGAACTCCCTCCACCATTTTGCAGCGACCGAGTGTTTTCTGGCGGACAACTCTTTCCAACTGTCATAGTCATGTTGCGTCAACCCTTTTGATACAGAGCGGAGAGTATGCAATCCCTTCATCCATTCTTTCTCTGCTGGTTTTGGAAACCATTTTCGAACCCTCTGGAACATTTGAAAGAAGAAAATTGGTTCTGATCTCTCGCGATTTCATTTAACACCAGTGATAAGGATTTTTCACAAGAACGAGTATACATATGATGCAGAACAGCACTTTCAGCAACCATTCGTTGTACATAGTGCTGTGTCTAGAGCGAGGTCTCGAGCACCGCTTCTTATCAAACCGCCTCGTTAGCTTTTCGGAGGGCATGCCTCTACTGTTCCCAGAATTTGAAGGTTTGCAGCTCAAAAAACACACAGTACAACCATATCCCTACATCATTTGACTTTCCTGGTGCTCGCCATACCCGGAAGCAGTAAAGATTTGTACAGACGAAAGTCACAGAGCCATAACGCAGTCTACGTCGCCTTTCGAAACCACACTCATAGGAGCCGCCATAACAGCCTCATAATATTAAATATCATCCTCACATCTCACAGGAGACTCATTCCTCTGACGTATCTCAATTTCTCGTTTCCCTCGCAGCACGGGAGACATGAATGATTGATGGTCAAGTTTGAACACTGGAAGATTTTCCACCTTCTCACAAGGGGAATATCTTGTGTGAGGGG